CAGTAAAAATTAGTTTCCTTGCCGTACAGAATAAGCCATTTTTAGAAAAACAAGTGTTTCATGTTTATAAATTTTTCTAAAATAACACATTAATCTTGACTGTTAACGTGGTTAATAAACAGGGTGGACCGATGACAGACAAATTTGAATTTGAAGGACAACATTTAATGATACTGATCATAAAACATTTAAGCGCAATCTCTTATGGAACAGAGTAACATATGAAAATGCAGTTCAGTAATTCAGTGAACTTGCAGAAAGCCAAGAATAACACGCATGGAAAATATGGAGCACTTGAGCAATAAAATGTTATCACAACCTCGCAGTTCATGTCCCTTTCCAGGCTGGGTGTTTGGAGGCGCAGTGGACGGAGTGAGCTGGCGCTGGTGGAAGGGCAGGCCAGCGGACTGGAACTGATGCTATCGGGTTTGTGGGCGATGAGGAAAAACACTATGTGCTGTAGCCGCTGTAGAGAGGAATTTTATCTTTCAGCACAGACGGGATACTGCCTAAGAGGAGGACACGCTGCTTTCATAACATTCATTTCTCACCCATTAGAAAGATTCATTATTAAACAAAGAACCAGGAGAAGCAGAGCTTATGGGCTCCTAAGCCTCACCAGAGAGTCTTTCTTCCTCACTGGAAAGCTGGCTTTACGGGTGTGAGCGGGACAAGAGGCTTCTCTCAAATCTTTTCTTTAGGCAGCAATAAAAATAAGCTGTGTATTTTCTGAAGACAGCATTTCTTTAGAGATTTAATAGGGGAATTACATTTCCTTTTAAATTAACCAGCAAGCTTTTGTTAAAGATCCGGCATAGTAGTTTTATATGATATGATATTAGTTCAGTTGTATGTGTGGAAAAATCTAGTAATTAGACGACGAGACTTTTCGTCAGTTGTAATTTGTTTTAAGCTGAACTGTGGATTTATCAACAACCAAGCAATACCTTAAATTCAAAGGCATTTACAAAGCCCCGATACATTTGTAGGTTAACATGCAAATACTGCAGTAAGTTACAAACAAGAGGCCACTGGACCCAAACAGATTTAGAGTTTAAAATGACAGAATTTATTGAAGTTTTGTCATTTGCATATATTATGCCAGTCCTAGGTTGATACACTACAGACCAGAAATCTGTTTTAGTAAGGAATGGTAAGAAATTGGGAAATTGCTTGCTGCAAAATGATTCTGAGCAGATTAGATAATAAAACACACCCTCTGACTTTCTCATTATTGTTTATGTTTTGAACAATTAAAACCACTTCTTAATAGCTTATGGTGGTAATGATGCACAGGTAGGGGAGCTCTGAAGTGACTAGCTGTTCACATCCCTTAAGATTCAGCATTAAATTGATACTTTACATCAGTATGACTCCTATTACTGATCTACTGTAAATATGAAGACAAAAAGGTACCAGTTTAAACCAGATTCCTCTCATGATAGAATCAAGTGTGAAGTGACAGATTCACCCTTTTCAGCAACAGCAGCACCACACAGCAGGACAGTCAGCCACAGAAACTGCCATTCTGCAGTTAACATGTTCATGGGGTGCTTAACACATCTTTACTCGCTTAAAAACCCTTGAAGACTGAAATGGAAATCATGCCCAAAAATCTGTTTGATTAGGAAACTATCGTTGGGCACTTGCTAACACTGCTTAATTTGGTACTTTCATAATGTAAGTCAAACTGCACTGCACTCTCTACAAGAAAAATTATTTTTAATGTTTTTCTCTGCACAAGTTCTTTCCCCCATGTCTGGAACACAAATCAACCAACAACCTATGCTCCTGGAGTTTGGTGCATAAACAAAATCTTGCAAAATGTTTAAGGTTTAGTTCCTCAATTTATTCAATTCGACGTACTACAAGTGCAAAATAACAGATGAAACAACCTGTACAAAGGTAAAATGAAAATACTTCATGTATTTGAAATCTGAAAACTTAATAGATCCTTACAAAAGTCAAAAACAAGTCTTGTCAGAAAGAAACCACCATCAAGGTAACTGCTGTTTTGGAGTTAAAAAAACAAAAGACAAAAGATTCGGAAAAGCTAATTTTTTATTACTTTGCGATTTGATAACATTAGGTAATTGCTCTTCCACTGGTAACTGTTTTAAATAAAAATATCTGAAAAAACAATTGTAACTTATTGTTTAATAAATTGTACCCTTGTTCTTGAGGGAATTAATTTTAATTAGCATTTAAGTAAAAAAGTTAAGTAAGAACAATTAAGCTTCTAATGTACTATAATTGCAATGTACTGTATCTAATGTAATGTATGCATGGCCTGTGATTTACATTTCCAAACACTATGCAAGATTCCCTATAGTTTCCTTTTTTTACTCTTCTGTACTAGTACCCAATATTTAAAGTAAAAGATCAAAGACAGGATCACACTGATAAAGAACAGACATGCAACCACAGTCTGAATGTTGTAAGGCGCTAAAAAGCTGTCAAAACCAGAGTTTTGAAGAACATGACCGTGTCCCTGCAATGCTGTGGGTTCAATGACAGAAACCCAAAAGCAGTCATGCACAGACAAATGCTACATCTGTTTTGCATAAGTGTTTATATTGACTCCCAGGATGGGGGAAGAAGCACTGCAAAACAATATAAGGAGACACAGCAAATCTTGCTACAGCAATTAAGTGTCAATTGTGCATAATCATTCTTCTTGGCTTTATGCAGCATTCTGTATTGTGTTCATCAAACTATATTTGCTTCTGATCACTTTTTAGATATTTCTGTCCATCCAACAGGGAAAAAAGAAAATCATCCAATAACAGCTGCTATGTTTGTCACGTGTGCTAAAAAGAGCAGGATTTCTCACAGAAGGCAGAGTTATAGGAAAGTGACTGTCCTCTATCATTTATTTGGCACATTACAGTGAATTTAATGATTTATCATAGCACAATATGGAAAAAAGATCAGTGAGATAAGTGTAAACAGGTTAAAGATCTGTATACAGACTATGTTCTGCTGAAGAAGCATCTGTTCACTACACAAAGCCATTTGTTACATATTGTAGCCAAGTTATCTGAACAGCTAAGAGAATAAAACTGTCAGTCACTTACAGCTGCAACTAAAACAGTTATCAGGAAAAAGGAGGGTTTACTGCAGCAGTTGCATTGAGATTGAACATACGTGATATAGGTACACTGATGACGCAGATTCACACTTGTCAGTTACAGGCATGAATTCATTTTTGTCCCTACTGTGTGAAAATACAGTGAGGTTAATATGATTTTCCTGGGGTGGGAAAAAAACACAAGATACGATCAGGTGCAGGAAGGAAGGGCTTGGTTTTGTATGTTTTGTTCTTGCAGAAATCTTGCGAAAGGGAAGCAGTTGTCTTCTTTGGGTGTTTGTGGGAAAGCTGTGTCCAGTGTGATGACTTGAGTTTAGCAGGATGCTGAAGGTTAATGAGGTTCCAGGCAAGCAAAGAGTGGTGAAGGGTTTCGGTACAAACAGGGAGAAAAGGGTGGGGAAACCAAGTTTCCTGAAGAGGAAACATTTTGAGAAATGACTCTTTCCAAAGAATTAACTGTGTGAAAGGAGATGGATCTTAACCGTGGTTACATTCTGTATTCCCTTGTCTAGTATGTTGCAGTCCCAGTACCAGGCACCTCAGCAGTGGCCTGATTTTGAGACATGCTGTCTGTCACATTGCACAGCATGTGGGAAATTAAGGGAGCAACTGCATTTGATATCCGCTTAAGAAATTCAACCCAAGATTTTATCCAAACAAAACTGATTTTGAAATTGTTCATTATCATATGATCATTAGTATGACTGAAGAATAAACCTGAAATACCTATATTTAACCTAAAAACCCTTTAGAAAAGGACACATACCTGGTTTTTAGAGTGTGAGGTATTGCTGAAATTCAAAATACCAATATCATTCACATTTTTGAATGCTTAAATCAACTGAAGAAACCAAGTGAGCCAAATCTTACAGACATGCAGCGAAAATATATCTGGTACATAACAGGAACTAGATATTCATTCCACGTATCTACAAGGAAAACAAGACAGAACAGTCCTCTGAAGCCAAAAAGTGACTCATGTGAAAAAACGGTGCCTCAAACAGAAAGCAGAACAGTTGAGGATATTGCTGATTTATTATTCTAGATGACATGATTACCATGAACCATTTAACAAAGCTGCAGACAGCTCAACTCGGTTAATAAGTCACTTTAGGTTTCACTTGGACCAAAAGGAAAAGGAAATGCCAGCTCTGTCAAAGTGACTACTTCAATTTTACAATCTTAAGCCAGTTTTGATCCCCTTGAATGCTGCCAATTGTCATCCTTAAGTCACTGAAAGGAACTAGTATAAATTCTGAATATCACCCACCAGCAGTACTGATAGGATGGTACTGTGCAAGTAAGCAAGTAACTTATTTACAGCTGTTGTTATGCATCAGTATAACACTAGTCTGACAGTGTTTACTAGTGAAAAAACAGTCAGCCCTGCAATGAATGGACAGCTATCCTAACTAACTGTTCTAGTCTTTCGCACCATCCAGTGAATGAGAAAAATCACCCCGAAGGACGTTTCTGATGCGTCCCAGAACAGAACATCACGAAAATGCACTGAAATGCAGAGTAAGTCAACTTAATACAGTCCACAGTATTGTACCGAGTTCATGATAACGTGTTCTAAAAAACATCACTGTGGGAAGCTGGATTTTCTGTGCATTTCAAGACAAACTGCAGCTGTGGGAAATTACCTGCTCGCTGTTGTAAGAGTGGGACCCAAAAGCCCCTACTAGTATTCTGTGCTCTAGTGCCCTTCCTGTTCCTACTGCCTGCTAGTCTTAACATTTAACTGAATGCTAAACGTCCTAAAAATATTACTGTAAGTAAGCGAATGTAATCTCTTTATCTAGCAATAACTATATGTTAATAACTAAAGGAACTATATACCCAAGTGAGTGACTGATTGCTCTCTGCCTTCCTACCCACTACCTAAACAGAGAAGGACAGGACTTACATATTGGCCAGAAGGCTGACACTGAGGTAAGGAGCCAGGACTGAGGACAGGAGAGCTGGCTGGGCTGCACAGTTCAGGAAAGGGATTTGGGATGGCTGGCAGAGATGATGTCCGAAGCTGCTGCTCCTCTTCTTGAAGTCTCCTGTGCAAATGGGAAGAGAAGTCATGTCCAGAATTCCAGAAGCTTTTTCCCCCCCCATGTTCAAACTCGGATAAAAACTTACTCGGCAGGACTGTGGCATTCAAAATCTTGAACTTTGAAAGAAGGTACAAAAACGACAGTTACAGAGAAGAATTCTGACATTACTAAAATGTTAAAAGCACCTGGATCTGAACACAGGTTCACAGGCAATAATTAAAAGAAATAGCAGAAAAGTCCCAAAATACCCCAAGTGCCTAATGTCCCAGAAGCTGATATAGCCTACTAATCTACTAATTTACTTATTCTCACATGCACAGCAGCAGCTCTTTCAAACTGACATGTTATTTCAATTTCTAACACATTTGTAGTTGAAAGTGTTTGCAGAACTGAAGTGTTGCACGTGGGTGGATCACCTAACAGGACAAAAATGCTTTCCTCAACCTCTTCACAGATAACTGACTGAAATTCAACAGACCACTCAGGCTTACGTAATACTTAACTGCTAAAAAAAAGTATTTCCAGGTGGTTCATTGTATATGAAGGGTAAACCCTAAAGAATTAAGGCTACTTGTCCACATTCAGGTTATACCACAAACTGTGACCATGAGCTCGTAGCTGGCTGGTGGTCACTGGGAGTTCGGCATCAGCCCATGACTGCTCTGTGCGAGCAACACCAGACCTGTCCATGACAGAAGGGAATAATTCTGACCTTTGAAAATGCAATTAGGAACAAATGTAGGCCAACTTCACAATGTTCCGTGGAGGGAGAAAGATTTAAATTTTGACATTTCGTTAGTAGCTTTCAACTGGTTAAATGTCTGCAAAGAAGGGCTGAGAAATGGAAAATTTGTATTATACCTTACAGCATGAATATGCATTGGCTGAGACCTCCTCACTTTCTGCTGTGGGGATGTGGGCTGTGCAGGGGGATTTATTCCTGAGGTCTGGAGGGGTGCACGGTGGAACTGGCCATTTTGAAGCAGAGGGGCTGACTCGGACTGCACACTGCATGTAGAATAGAGGCTCTCGAAAGAAGAGTTCATATCATTTACCAAAGCTTCCAGGTCAACGTCATCATCTGCAGAAAACAAAATCACATTTAAAAGCAAAGAAATAACTATAAATTATAGAAACAAGTAATGGGGTTATTCCATGCTGAAAAGAGAAAAGACAACGCTTCAGCTGTGAAGCCTTCTTCAGGTGTTTGGTGGAAGCACCTCTGGCATCAATTGCAGCCACTGTTCTGCACTACAGCATGTTGCATTTAGACTGAAATACTCAAGATTTTGTCTCATCTAAGCACAAAAACCTTGCCTCATTTGCAGTATTACTTGTATGCTTTGTTGCAAGTCCAGTTCCAGGACGTGGATGGTTTTTCAGTCATGACTGTACAGCCAATCTGCCATACAGACCAGCTCTGTCATTGAACCCTGGAGCTTTTCCAAAGTCACTGTTAGACTCACTAGTCAGACTGGTCAGGGATGTCCGTTCTTAACACACGTGGACCTATGAAATACACTTCACTGCAAGACTTTCCAAAAGTCCAAAAGAGAGGCTTAGACAAGTCTCAATTTTAATGACTAACTCTAAGAAAATATTTGTAAACTGAAAAGTTGTCTATATGAAAGACTTGGTATCAAATAGATGTAGATTTGTTTAGTTTTACTGATTACCAGCACCACTACTTGTATACTGTTTTCAGAAATAAAATTAATATCATATCTAATCAAGAGAAGTTTATCGCAACCGCAACTTAAGGGGAATGGCACAGGGTCAGATTAGATACTTGGATTGATTATTTTCAGGAAATATATTTAATAACCTTCTTACTGCTGTTTTCTACAACTCATAAACAAAGTGAAAGCTCTATCTGAAGTGATCAATAATTCAGACAGTGTACTATCAGTCAACAATTGATATTTTCTATGCTCTTCTAATGCTTTGATGGGGGTACTCGTTGGCATTCTTTAGTGTTTGAAGAGAGTTCAGAAACCAACAACTACACTTGCCATCATTGTCCACCCCTTTTGTCTCCGGCCTGTTTCACCCCCTTAATGATTTGGATTTATAAAAGAAGACGGGACGCCAAGCATTTCTTCTCTATACTCTGTCACTGCCAGATTCAAGGCAAAGTTCAAAGAGATTCTTTGGTGTGAAACAAATGAAAGCAGCTGTAAACAATTTGCCTTAGACAAACTTTTGCAATCACAGCACTTGAGGCAGAATATCTATAATTAACATAAGCAAAGCTATAATAAGTTAACTCCCTTCTAGAAAATAAGTAACACAAATTGCCATCTATGCATCATGGATGAGCTTAAGAGTTCGTATAAAACTTGCATTTGCAAGTTTATAGGGAAAGCACCACAAACTTATGAACCTTACATGAATACGGTAAAATAAGTTGGGTAGTGGAAAAAAACCTTCACTAGACCCATAGAAGGACCCAGATTATATCAAAACGGATCCACTTGGCACTCGCAAATTATAATTTGTTCTTGATGGTAAATTTCCACTCTGAAGACACAAGAGACCTCTTGGAATCAAAGAGCCATCAACCAAGACGCAAGTTTCAAATCTGAGATGAACATGTTCCGATTAACAATGTAATGATTAAACATTTCTCAGAACCCTACATTGCAAATGGTGCCAAGATAAACAATGTCTATTGTAAACCAATATCTTCTGAATCAGTTTAGCTAAAGCATTAATCACAATCTGGCTGCAGCATCCTGACCGATTTCCTGGATCATCGGTTTTAGAGTCTAATCATCACTGATTAAGATAAAACAAAAATCACAGAGCAGGAATTCGAATGTACTGTGGAAGTCTGTACAAGGTTTCTGCACCTGGCAAACTGTTAGGGTTGGTTCACAAGAACTCTGAATGTAACCCGAAGAAGGCTCTATGCTTGAAATGCAGAAAAAAGAAGAAACATTGTCTCAACCAAGAATAAACTTCTTAATTATTTATGTATTATGTATTGTTAACAGGATGATGTCTTTGAGCATGTAATGGTGAGTTACAGCTTTGCTAATATCACTAGCTGGAAAAGGGTAAGCAAAGTTTTCATATGATGAGAACACACTTTTCTTCTGCCCCATGGTCTTTGTCTTCTCTGTTTAATAGGCAAATACCATGATAAACAGTCTAGGGAATTGAGTAAAATGCTCTACCATGACCCAAGTGTATAATTGACCCTTAATGGTTTTTAACAATCCCTGAAACAGCTGCTTTATACACCCTGACAAAAAAGTACACCGCTGTAAACAGTCTAATTAAAACAATAAGGTTAGATGAATTTATCAATGTATTAGGTGTTCAAGAAGTTTTAACAGCAGTAGCAATGCAGAACAAATATCAACGCTGAACAGTGGTTTTTCGGAAAGACAGAAGTTAAACCTAATTCCCAATAGAGGTACACAAAGACTGGACTCGAACCCTGGTGGAGTGGAAAGAGAAGGCCTGAAACCTCCTGGCGATGGGCCCAGTCAGCAGAAACCAAAAACTTACATGTCGATTGTCGAAGTATTCTCTTTGATATGCTCAGACATTCTTTTGAACTTGTTTTCAGTTCATGGCTCAATTTATTCTGCTTAACTTTAATCTTCAAACAGTACAATACATTTTCTTGCTGACGTTATAATCTTAAGGGTCTTGCCGACATCAACAAAACACAGAAGCTGTATTAAAAAGATAATAAAATATACTCCTAGGTTAGAAACTATCACAATTCAACGGAGGTGTATGGACAAGTTCAGCACTCAGGTGCAATGACAAACACAAACTGACCCCATGAGAATGTCCTGTCTTGCATGTCCTGTCTCTATGCACAATTTCTATATAGCTTTCCATGTCTACCCTACAGACATTTGGACACAATGTCACAAGACGTATCAATCAGAAATACGGGAGGCTGGATACTTTCTTTACTCATGGAAGTCAATTATGAAACATTAACATGGAATATCAATGCCTTAGAACAAAAACATCTTATAAAATACTGTTTAGGCCACTTATACAGTTTTAGGAATTTGGATGAAAAGAAAAGGCAGAGCAACTTTTCAGTGAAGAAAAACACTGCGAAACCCATCCTTTAAGAGTGGTGCTGTTATCTCACTGAAACATCTGCAGTCTAAACTGTGTGGGCTCTTTGTTCATGAGAAAAACAAAGATACAGTATCTTTAATCCTGTTTACGGTTTATTCTGCAATATTCAAGGTTCAGCAAGTTCATCATCTTGTTTAATAAAAGCAGAGTAATGCACACAACAAAAAGTGACAAACAGCTCCCTCTAGTGAGTGCAAGAAAATCTAATAACTGTAACAAGTGAGCAGTCACCATGGAAATTTCAGGTCCCATGTCATCAATAAATTGTATGCTGCAATCAAACCTGAATCAAGTGTAACCATGGTTTTCACTAAGATGTTGTCCAAGGTTTTAAGTAGATTTATACAAACAGTGATCAACTTATTCATCCTTTTCATCTTTGCCATTTCATCATACAATGAAATTATTTCAAATCAGACTGGAGTATTTAATAACATGATTACACTGCTGTAAAATGAAAACTATATACAACAGCAATGTGTTCTACAGCGTCAAAGTCCTTAAATAAACTACAAACCCTTATGATTTAAATATGGCAATGATTTTCACCATAGGGTGTTTCTGGACTTCATTAAAAATGCTGTTTGTTATCCCTAGTCTTTGAACTTCAGATAAGACAACAGATTTCCTAAGATATTCAAACACAATAGAAATTGCAAGTGGGATAAATTTGTTGGCACTTTTAAAACAAACTTTTTTTAGGAAAGGAAAATTCAGAGTGAAACAAGCTTTTACACATTTGACTGTGTTAAAGGAAATAAAAACAAAGAAATGAATATTAACAGATACATTCACAGATTTTGTGAAGAGACTATTGATCATCAGATTATCGATCAAGGAATTCAAGTAGAAGCAGTATCTCCAATAAGACATGTGTGATTACTCAGCTCATAAAGCAAACATTTTGGCAGTTAGAACTTTGTATGCCAAAAAATTACTACAGCCAATAAAACGTGTTATGCGTGTGTATTAGAATATCATTTTTAGAATGCATCTAGTATGTATAATGTCATGTATTAAAGGGTTTATACCCCCCTTTTATTTCGTTTCCAAGACAAATCTTCATGGAAGAAATATTGACACCGCAATAACATATTACGCCACAAGATGCTACCAGAAACCTTTTTCTGTAAGCCGCCCTCCTACCATTTGTGTAAACTTTGATACAATCCTATGCCAAAATTTAATGTAACTGCTCATTATAATACAATTCATGAATTCAGATGTGATGAAAACTGATGGAATCTTTATTCTTTAGCTCTTAAAACACATGCCTAATACCGGTCTTCACCACATCTTCAGTAAATTCATCTACCTAATCTAATTCCAAGATTTTCTGCAGTCTAAAGCAACTGTAGACTCACAATGGATTCCTGGATGCATTGCACATTGTTTTGAAAGGGTGAACATGCACATCACCAGCATGACAGAAGTTATGAATGTAAAAAACGACATTTAAGCCCCTGGAAGCAAGAAAACACAGCAGCACCGATTCCAAGTGAGTCTACCCATCCCATCTGCTAGACAACATACAAAAACAGCTTTTTTGTCATGTTTTCATCTGACTGAACTCCTCCTAAGAAACCTGACCCTCTGCTGCTCTGCAGTCATACTGTATCTCCTTGACTTACATCGCAGCTCATTTCTGGAATTGATGATTTCTTGACAAACGCGTCCAATTTTACCCAGACTCAAATGCCAGTCTCCGATACTCAGTCATAGTTAGAATTATCGTGTAAACAGGCCTGTTAAATAACGTGTAACCCACACGCTGGAGAGAGCTTAGCAGTCTGATCAATAAAACTTGCCCCCAAAAGGGAGCAAAGAAAACTAAAAATCAATATCCCAAATGGTTTTCTAAAATATCAGGAATAAGATGGGGGGAAAAGAAAGAACTTCAGAAAATGATTAAACAGGTCGTAGTTAAAAGGAGAATGAAATGAAAAATTAGAAAGCCCAGGAGACTGA